AAAAGAAAGTCATTTAGATAATTGCTCTTGTTTCTTATTAATTTCTGAGGTTCTAAATTAAAAACCGTGGGGGATAAGGTTTTTGCCTTTTTTTTTTTTAACCCACAATCCTCTCAGGAACAAAGCAGAGAGTGGAAGAATGAACTGGCACAAAAATAAGAATTCTTATCTAATTTTTAGATGTAAAATTTTGCATATTAGGCATTAAAAATTTATGAATAGAATGCTTTTTAAAGTTTTATTTGTGAGTGAGTGGTTGAAATCTGGAACATGATTTGACACAGAAATAATTTAAATCAGTGATTTTCAAATTTTTTTAAGAAATGCCATTTTATCATAGAAGCTCAGTTTTTGAAGCAGATGCAAGGGAACTGCCGTGCTTAAAGCAAGTGTGCAGCGTGCCCAGGGCTCCAGGAACAGGTCAGGAGATCACGGTTGTGTCTGATGAATCGTATCAGGGTCCCGGTCAGACTTGGTAGTGCTAAGACTCTGGCCTTGCAGATCACAGGCCACACAACCCAAACTCAGGGATTTGGGTGACCCAGTCTCTGCGTCTGGTTGAGCCTCCTATTTATGCGAAGGCCAAAGCAGAGTCTCAGAGACAGCAGGGGACTGTCCAGATGTAGAAGATACAGACACTGAGTCAAGTGAATGAAACCCTTCAAGTTTTCTGTTGTAGCCAGCACCCAACCCCACCCTATCGTTCTTCAGACAGCCTCACTTCAAAATGGTCCCTTTTGCACTTACAAACTCACATTTTCATCACCTCTGTGTGAGGGCTTTATTGACATTTTTAGCAAAACAATTCTTTGTCAAGGGGAACTAACCACACTTGTAGAGTGTTTAGCATCCCCGGTGTCCACCTGTTGTGTGTTCCCCAGTCCTAGTGACAACACAAAATGCCCCCCAGGCAAGCACACACCCCTCTTTGAGAATTACCACTGATCCTCCCTGAGTGCTAAGGGGGAATCAGTTTTACTGACCTACAACATTGTTATAGATACTTATATTTTAGAAGAGAATGTTTTTATATCCATATGGCTAATAAATATATGAAAAGCAAGTACAAATTAAAACCACAATGAGATTACTCTACACACCAACCAAAATGACTAAAATGAAAAAGACTAACAATAATTTGACGAGGTTGTGGAACAGTTGATACTGGGAGTGAGAACTGGAATAACTACTTTGGACGACTATTTGACAAAATTCATTAAAGTAAACATGGACCTTCTGTAGTGATCCAGAAATCCTACTCCTAGATATACACCCAAGAGTAATGAGTGCCTAGGCCTACTAAAAGATATACACATATATATAGATATACACATATATATTTATACACATATATATATGCATATATATACACATATATATATTTATACACATATATATGCATATATATACACACGTATATATATATACACACATATATATACACACACATATATGAATGTTCACAGAAGCATTGTTAATGATAATCAAAAGTTAGAATGGATAAATTAATTTTGATATCCTCACACAATAAAATATAACACAGCAATAAAAAAATGAACTGCATGCAATATTGAATATCATGGGCATAATAATGAATAAAAGAAGTCAGACAAAAGAATACGTACGATATAATTCCATTTATATGAAATTCAAGAACAGGCAAGACTAATCAATGATGATAGAAGTCAGAATAGTAGTTACCTGTGGGGACAGAGATGTTGACTGGAAATGGGCACAAAGGAGCCCTCTGAGGTGATGGAAACGTTCTAAACCATAATGTGGGTGGGAGTCACACAGTATGTGCACACACACATATACACATGTACCCATATACATATACACACATATGTATATGTAAAAATTCATCTAGCTGTATACTTAAGATTGATATAAATTGCTGTATATAAACTAAAAAAAAAAAACTTGGAAATTTAATCTCTAATTTATGGTACTTCAGAGAATGTGATTAAAAATAGAGGCAGTCGAGGGAAACAGGAGTTTTTCTGGAAGCTGTGCGAGTGTGTCACGAAGGAAGGTCCATGCTTCTGGGTTTCTGGGGCCAAAATTAGGGGAGATGTGGTGCCAGTGCTGGTGGCAGAAGCTGATAAGAATAGAGGTAGTAGAAAAAGTCTTGCATGATTCTCTTTCCTTGTGGGTTTTTCTGTTGTTTCCTGTTTATATCTGTAGTTGTTGTTGTTTTAAATCTTAATTCCTGTCCTCCACACCCGTGGCATTATGGTCAAGGCAGTGGGCAGTGTTGAGGAGAGTTGAGGGGGCATGGGAAGAGGGTACAAGGCCATGGGTGTACATCAGGTATTTATGCATTGGAGGGAAAAAAACTCCACCTTAACCTGGCAGCCAGCAGCGAGGCTGGGATGGTACTTCATAGAAACCTTCCCAAGAAGGAAAAATTCTGGGTTCCAAGAGATGAACATGGAGTGTGTGGTGGTGCAACCAATGAACAGGGGTACAGGCTACTCGGAGAAATAGGAAGGCTAATAATCATACCCTAGTGGGGATGTGAGGGGAAGCAGAAGACTGGAGATTTTGTCCAGCCTTTTTGACTACAACTGGCTGGTTACCCAGACTTGAGGTTTAAGTTGGGATATATGATAGGGGCTTTGCTTATACCATGTAAGCCCGAACTGGACTTGGCACTCTTCCTAGTCCTTCATGGTGGTTTTCTTAAGGAGAATGAATTATGGGGGAATATTTTCAATTACATGCTGTGCATGAATGTGTATTACAGCACAACACACACTCTGATAAAGAATAAGATGGTCAGATGCTGGACCATATGCTGTGCCAGGTGTAATCTAGCTCTACCAGTTTCCAGCTGGATCCAAGCTGGAATGCTGTAGAATTTATACAACAAATAGTATATGTTAGCTTGTCATTTGAATGCCATTGAAAATGTTCTATTTTATCACTGAAATTAAATTTAAAACTGCATGTGTTGGATAAAATATCTATGTAGATATCTATGTCTACTTACAAAATGAAATAGAACCAAATAATGATTTATTGAGGGCTGTGTTTGTCTTTTTATGTGACGATTATGCTAGTAATGTTTTGCTACCATTGTGTCCAATTTTAATTTAGAAAATTAATATTTTAGGATCCTTAATAAGTTTTACCAGAATTAATGATTGGAGGAGTTAAATCTTATTTGAAAAGGAAGGACTAATAGCCAAAGTCGGTTAACTATTAAGCTTCATAGGCTACACTGAATAAAATATAAATGATTACAAATTTTTCACTTTTAACTTGTCACATCCTATTTTTGATTTTTAATTAATTATTTTTGCAAATGACTGTAATCTTTTTAAAATCACCACATTTTCATCTCTCCTCTTTCAAATTATTTTGATTTCCCCTTGGATCAGTGTCTTAGTCCATTCAGACTGCTATAACAAAATTCCACCGACTGGGGAGCTTATAAACAACAGATATTAAGGAGACTAGGAAGTCCAAGATCAAGGCAGCAGCATGGTGGCCTTCCTCTTCCTGGTTCCATTGTGTCCTCACATGGTGGAGGGTGCTAGGGTTCTCTCTGGAGCCTCTTTTATAAGGCACTAGTCGCATTCATGAGGGTTCCACTCTCATGACAAGCACCTCCCAAAGGCCCCACCTACTAATGCCATCACCTTTGGGGGTTAGGATTTCAACATATGAATTTTGGGGGGATATAAACATTTAGACCATAGCAGTCACCATATGCAGATGACCCTAAGTCTCTATTTCCAACCATAGCTTCCTCTTTCACTTCATTTCTGAATCTGCTGCTGCTGCTGGGAATTTATAGTTGGTTATCTCAGTGTGACCTTCAAGTGTAGAACTAATCTCTTCATCTGCCTCTTTCTTCCTCAGACTTTCCATAAAACCAAGAATGTCTTTTCCTCTTTCTTCAGATTAGAGGCCTTCCAGGCATCTTGGACTCCTTTCTCTTCCTTTCTAGTGTTGTGTTGGCCAAGCACCATGCATTGTCAATTGTTCTTTGAAAAAACAAAAAAACAAAAAACTTCCTTCTCATCCTGATTATTCCGGCTGTCACCAACCTGGCTTGTCACCAGTCTCATACTTGCATTACTCCTTCAGTGAGCAAACTTTTAATCTCTTCCCACCAAACCATGTGCTGGCCAGACAAATTTCCCTAGAGCCTGCCTTTGATTATATCTTCCTCCTGCTCAGAAATCTTTAGTGTAGCTCCTTGTTCTCAATAAAATTGAATCCAAACCTAGCCTGCCTTTAAGCAGCTCTTTTTCCAACTGTTTACCTTCCTGAAACTTCTTTTCCAGCCAACGGTTTGACTCACAATTTCCTAAGCCCCCTTCCCTTCTCCAGTCTCACGCTCCAGTGTCCACCCATGTAGATCATTCGCCCCTCCGCCGCATCCATCCAGCTCCTCCCCAACTGCAACACCTGATGAAGTCTTACCTCCTTCTCCATGCTGCAGTCTCCCCTACCTCTAACTTCCTCCAGTGGCTCTTACTGTCTATATAGGGAATTTCATAATTTAACTTCTTCAAGTTTATGAGCTTTCTTCCAATTGTTATAGCTTGAACTGATTTTCACTTCTTTAAATTTTTGCTTAGTTGTATGTGCAACTAGACTGTCAGTATCTCCAAGGTGAGAGTCTTTGCTTTATCTGTATGCTCTGTAATACCTAACATACACTCACTCACACTAAAATGTAAGCTCTGTGCAGGCTGGAGTTTTTTGTCAGTTTTGTTCACTGGTAAAGACCTCATACCCAGAACAGAATCGAGTACATAGTAGGTGTGTAATAAATATTTGTTAGATAAATTGTAGATGTTCAGTAAATGTTTATTGATTAGATTTTAGATCTTTCACACCTGCTGCATTACAAGTTTCTAGCATCCCTTATTTACTATAACTAAGAAATGACTGTAGGGAAAAGAAAGCAAATGCAGTTTACAGCCAGAATCTGTTCAATAGGGCTTGGCTTCTCCTTCTAAAAGAATTGTGTTTTCCTGCAGATATTAATGAATGCCAGCTACAGGGTGTGTGCCCTAATGGTGAGTGTTTGAATACCATGGGCAGCTATAGATGTACCTGCAAAATGGGATTTGGGCCAGATCCTACCTTTTCAAGTTGTGTTCGTAAGTAATGATAATTTTTTATTCCTATTTTGGATCATTTTTGGGGGCGGGGGGTGGGGGCAGGGTTATCCAAAAGAAGGGAAATACTCAGTGGCCAACTGAATATTGTAAATATGCAAGAAACCTCATTAATTAAAATGACAAGGGGGAAGAGGCCAGCTTTGTATACTAAAATAAATCAGTGTTACGGGACCTTTTCCAAAACGCATTTTTATTGCGTTCGGAAAATATAATAGCTGAAACTCGAGGTAGAAAACAAGCTGCCCATTGCTTCGCAGCCTTCTGGCTGAGATCAAGTGTGGAGAACAAGTGTACCGAGGAAATCTACTTTGATGGAAAAAAAAAAAAGTGAATTAAAACTAGCATGCCTGAGAGATGAAAACAGTTTTTTCCTTCATGAGTATTTTAAGCATTATTTAGGCTGGGTTAAACTTTGTCCCAGCTTCTGTCTTTAATTAGTCCAAATTCTGAGTCACTGGTGTCTGATTTAAGGAGGTTTCACTGTACGTTCTCAGTTGGAAGAGTCTGGGAAATAGTTACCAAGGCCCTGCCTTTCAGATTTTCTATTCAGTTCTAATTTCAAATATTCTATTCTGTTGTCCTCCAAAACCACTAAAATGTCCCTGAAGTTATACTGTTTTGCCTTACAGATGTTGTCTCTAAGATTTTCTCTTGTACCTGGTGAGGGTAAACATCCTCCATCAACTCACATGTTCTAATATTGGTTCAGAAAATATAGTTTCACCAAAGAGACTCTTTGTCCACAAAAGCTAATCCAGTGTAATCACTGCAGATCACCTGACAGAGAGAGATGCATTTTAAATGTAAAGTTCTCATAAGCAGAATTTTTTGAGGTTACCTTATTTTTAAGGTACTTGTGTCCATTATTAAAAAGTAGGTAAACACTGCAGATTTTTTAAGCCGTATACTTTAAAGTTTAAAAAAGACAGAAGACTGTCAGTATAATTTTAAGGGTAATTCTGTATTAATTTCTGCCATGCTAGATTTTTGTTTTTACTATCTTTTTTTTAATGTGAGTTTGGTATACGTTAAGCTGCATCCTGCCAGTGCCCAGTTTTAAACTTGCCATTTGGTCAAGATGTGTTCTTCACGAAGATAACATTGTTCATTTTTATCTGTGCATCTCTCTCTAACTCTGTGCCCTAGGCTGAGATCATAGACATGATGCAATAAAGACAAATGTAGTAAAATAAAAATGACAGTCTCATTCATTATTAGAAGGGTTTGTTGAGTCTTTTGGAACATTGTTACTAATTACTACTCTTTTCCTTTAAAAACTGTCAAACGCAGATTAGGAAATTTTGCACGTAAGTTCTTTTTTCCGTGTTCTTTCACAGACAGTTCTGATCATGAAGCAGACAGACACCTAATTACAGGGCTTTTTTGGTGAATGGTAAAATTAGACTGTAAAATTATGTTTGCATGCAAGGTACGTTTGAAAACCGATGCAAGGATTTGGAGATTTCAGGCCAAAAATCACATTGTTGACAATATCCAGATAATTGAGGGATAATTTCTGGCTGATTTGAATTACATGAGTAAACATTTTAAATAGTTTTATGATTTAAATGTAAAAGATTTTACAGGATGTAGAATTTGTTGTGAAAGTTTTTTTTTTTTTTCCTTAAATAATTTGACCTATGGTCTGGTTAAAATTACTACATTGAAGGTTGAAGATTAGGTAAACTTGGAGAAGTGGTCGCAAAGTGTTTAATAAAACTTAGACTAGATCTGATGTCTAGAATTAAGGGCAGACATCCAGGTTTTAATAAGATTGTAGAAATCTGCCAATGAGATTTTTGAAACACACATTTCCTTAACATTTATTTTTGCTGTCATTGCCCAAATAATACTGAACTTATTAAACAACCATCCATTCTTATTTGAAAAATAAATAATTCAATTTTATGGTTCAGTTACAACAGCTGAAATGATAAGTATTAGGAGACGTTTGTTGCTAGTTAAATGTTCCAGTTTAGAGTTTGGAGTTAAAACCTGGGCTCTTTACCAGCGTTGAATGGGCAGATTTGTTTCTGTGTCCTCTGAATTTACCACATGTAACATCACAGAGATATGTAGGGTGTCTTCAGGATTTGTGACTTGGATCAATCCGGTCTGATTTGTTGGTGAACTATATTTTGAAGAAATCAATGGGGAAAGTCTGAAGACAATTGAGAAGAATTAGGGAAAAAGGTGGCATTCATAGAGGAATGGAAAAAAATATTGGCAAGATAGTGGCACCCTTGATAGTCATGGTGAAGTAGCAGAAGAAGACTGGTGGTCGTGCGTGCATGTGTACATAGACACACAGACACAAAAGCACTGAGCACAGTTGTTGCGTAAGGTTTGGATTATATGTTCCTGAGAGGTATAGAAACAGCCATGGATAGAGCATTTAAGCAAATGGAGGAGATTGCCGGCATTTGCTCAAGCAGCATGAATTTAGGGCATATCCAGGGCATAAAAGGTTTGGCTGACTCGGTGAACTCAAAGAAATGCGCTTGGCAACAGCTGAGGAGCAGCGGGAAGCTGTCTCTGGTCTCGAATGCACTGAGGTGAACATCCTCAGAATTCCTTGACTCCAGCCAAAGGTTGCAACCATTTCACTTTCTCTCCTTGCTCATTCTCTGTCCTTGACTTAGCCAAGCTAAAAGAAGGAAAGTAGGAGGGCTCTGGCGTTTGCTGCCTCGGACCTCTGTGTCTGCAGCTCAGGATGCTGCAGCAGCATTCTCCAGACCTGCTCCTAATTATCTATGGGGAAAGGTGAAATTTTAGGATTTGTCAGAGGTAATCCAAGAAAAGTATAATAACCTTTGCAATCGGAGTAGGAAAACTTTCTGACTCTCTGAGCTGCAATTAATACTCTTCAGGAATTCAAGAGCTCCAGGATGAGTGCTGTAGAGGGTGTTTCCATAGATTCAGTAGAGAAAGGCCCGGATAGAAGAATTCTGAGCCTGGATGTTTGCTGTTTTATAGTATTCTTGACCCATGGACTTGGTGCTAATTGACAGAAATAGAGAGTTAGAGAGAGGTGCTCAGGAACTTCCACATAACCCTGGAAATCATGAGATGAAGGATAATCCCTTCTAAAAGCCAGTCATATTTATGTACATCGTTTCTTTTTAATTTCCCCAGCATCTTTATGAGATGTATATTATTCTTATTTTACACACTAGGAAACTGAAGCTAGGAGAGTTTAAGTAACTTCTCAAGATCATACAGCTAGTAACTGACATTGGGACTTAAAACTGGTTTTGTGCCTCCAAATTTAGGGTTCTAGATCGAGGTTGGCAAACTACAGTCCATGGGCCAAATCCATCCCACTGTCTGTTTTTGTAGATAAAGCTTTACTGGAACACAGCCATGCCTATTCATTTACATATTATCTGAAGCTGCTTTCACACTGCAGTGGCAGAGCTGAGAAGTTGCAACAGAGACCATATGGCCCACAAATCCTAAAATATTTATTATCTCACCCTTTACAGAAAAAGTTTGCTGACTCTTGGGCTAGATCAGTGCTGTTCAATAGAACTTTCTCTGATGAGGGAAATGTCCTCTATCTGCACTGTCTGATGTAGTAGACACTAGTCACGTGTGGCTAGTGTGACTGAGGAATTTTAAATTGTATTTCATTTAAATATTATCAACGTAGCAATATGTGGCTAGGGACTAATGGATTGGACAGCATGGTTCTAGAACATTGTTTTACAAAGCTGATTGGGTAAGTTACTCCTAGATCTTCTCCTTTTCCCCTGAAACAGGCTTTCCTTCCTAACTTGGTAGTTTTGTCCATGGTGACACTGTTCTCCCAGGCAGTTAGGACGGGAGCCCCTGTGTCAGCTTTGACTCTGTCATCTCCTTTGGTCTACAAGAAAGTCATTAAATCTTCATAATCTATCTTATGCCTTTTCCTTTCTTTCCATCTCTTCTGTGGCCATCTCAGTTCAGGCCCCTAGCTTCGCTCACTTGGTGGTCTCATAGCATCATGACCTGGAGCTTATACAGACATCTGTGCAAACTATTTGCTCCAAGATAATAACCATAACAACAAAAACCATGACAGTAATGTCATAATCTTCACTGCTCACTTAGTAAGGGCCAGGTACTGCGATAAGCACTTTATATGGATGATCAAATATAATACAAGATCTCTATGAGGTTTGTATTGCTATTCTCCCTACTTTAGAAATGAGGAAATTGAGGCATGGAGAGGTTAAGGATCTTTCCAAAAGTCACACAGTCTGTAAGTGGTAGAGCCCAGATTTCAATCTGGATCTTGCTTACTCCACAAGCCGAGCCTTTAATCAGGAAGAGGAAAATGGTCTGAATTGACAGGAGCAAGTCATTTATTTAAGGAGAGCTGCTATTTAGCCTCACTTGCCACACTATGGAATAGATGGTCTAATTCTGCAATGGCCCTAGAATCATTGTTTTCTTTTGGATCTCCCAGAATTTATTTTTAATAGCCCCATTTCCCAAAAAGGGTGCCTAGCGGTTCTCACTTCACTAGAAAGTCATCTCTCAGACTCTTCATAACAGCTTTACCTCTCCCCACACCTGCATCCCAACACTCATGCCATAGGGATTTTAAGCTTTAAAGGGATGAAACTCTAATGCAGAATTTCATCCAAGAAATGAGTGAGGATATTGGAGGTGTTCAGGGGAAGGGGGAGTGAAAACAGACTAGTAGGGGAGGTTAGCTATATCCTATCCTCTCAAGTCTTCTATATTTTTCAACTTCTTCTAAGTACCAGATTAATTTATATCTGCTTAATGATATGTATCATTCACATTTTAATTGATTAGAGCAGCATGTCTTTGAAAGTATAATCAGAGTTTATTGTACAACCCTATAATTAAGTATAAGTTGCTTAATACACCATCAGGGAACCCGAATAAGAGAACCACAGCATCTTACCTTCTTACTGTGTTTGTAATTGAATCACCATCAACATTGGATATATGGTGAAGATTAAACTTGGGTACAGAGCTAGGTGTATATTACTTTTGAAGATTTCTCTCTTGTCTGTAGCCAAGAGTGAAAGATTTGTTTTCCTGACTGACTGATGTGGCATTTCTAGTAGGTTTAATGCCTCTGAAATGTTTTCTCCTCTGTATGGAGTATCTGAATCTATTCACCGTAATCTTAGCAACACATCCTGCCAGAAATACACTTTGCAAAACCACTATCGTATATGAACCTATAAGCACCCTTTGTTATTGCTTCTCAGTACTCTATCCCATACCCATTTCCGCCTATTCTTTAGAAACCTTTTGGCAATATTTTTTTAGTATAGCATGAAACCTTATGACTCAATAGAATGTATAATTATGCGTACCATATTTTAAATAATAAATGTAGTATACTAATGAATTATTCTTTAAAACTAGCCTTCCAATCTGTGGTTAAAGATGCTCAGACAATGGAAACACCAATCTTGCATCATTCTAGGTAGCATATTGTTCCTGGGTTTATGTGTAATGGAATAAATGGAATTGCCATGCGAGTCATTTGAAATGATAAAATAAAAACAGGTAATTTAGATGTTAAAATGGAGGCGGTTTTAAAGGGCACACCTATTAGAAATCTGAGGCATAAATCAACACTTTTTGGTCTACATAGTTGTATTTCAAATAAAATTTGAATCATAAGAGCATCAGTAAAATTTAGATATGTAAGCTAGACTTTTTCAATGGCTTCCTTCTTGGTTTTCTTCCATCTCCGAAGGAGATTTTTTATTAGTTAATTGCTTATTCTTATGTGCACATGGGGTGAGGCAAAATGTTTAGTTAGGATGTGGTCTGATGCACCCAGACTCACCAACAATTGACTTATTGATGACTCAGTAACCCAATGATTCTCTTACTCCCCAGAAGACCACCACTTGAAGTGCTTTGGAAGCTGTCCTGGAAAAAAACACCATGCTCTATGCTCTATGTGCCCAGTAGTCTTTACCTGTTAGATTAAGGAAGATTAATGAAGTCTTATCTACAACTGGTAGAAGAATCAGGATTAGGGTTTAGGTATTCGATGAATATACACAGGTGTGCTTTTGCAGTATTTTCTGAGGGCTGGAGCACATCCTCTCCTTCCCTGGTGTGCTGTCTGGCTGGACCGGGGGCCTTGGGTGGCATTGCAAGTCAGAAGACACTCCTTGCCTTCCATTTGCTGTTCACTGGCCTAGGGCAAGACTTGATGGGGCCCTGCAAGCTCTCACTATCCTCAAAGTGAGAGAACAGCTGGCTTGCAGCATCAACGAAGTTCGGTTTCTGATTTTCCACCAACATCAACAATGTTCAGTTTCCGATTTTCCACAGTGCCTGGTTGTTCACCAAATTTTACCCTAGAACTACCTCTATGATGACTAAATACAAGAAAACGAAGGAGGTAGTGATTTTGATAATAGGTGACTAGGTTTATCTGGGCAGCTGGATTTTGGTTGAAATTGTTTCTTTTCACTTTATGCGCATGCACCTGATCTAATGCTTGCTAAAATGAAAGAAGAGACCAGACAAGGATAGGGATATTTGGTGCCCTGATTCTAAAACTCATTTGGTAAACTTACTCTAAATCGAGAAAGGTGATGCCCTAAACCTAGATAGATTTATTCTCAAGTATGGTTTCTAATCCAGACTTCAAGTTTCATTTTGCTATTACATGAAAAGTCGATCTGGTTTTTGTTTCTGGGGTGACATCAGGCCTTATCTCTCTGCTTCAGCGGATACCCCTGTGGTCTCTGAAGAGAAAGGGCCCTGTTACCGACTTGTCAGTTCCGGAAGGCAGTGTATGCACCCTCTGTCTGTTCACCTCACCAAGCAGCTCTGCTGTTGTAGTGTGGGCAAGGCCTGGGGCCCACACTGTGAGAAATGTCCCCTTCCAGGCACAGGTAAGACATGCTCAGTTGTAGGCTCATATTCATTCCCAGCCACACAAAAACACAGGATGACTTTGGCAGCTTGGGTTATTTTCAGTTTCTGACTTTAATTTTAGTTTCTAATAATACAATGTGTTTTTATCACTTTTGTAGAAACCATGAACGTACAAGGTAGACTCAGTGGAAAAAATTACATGCAAAGAGATTTTTCCATTTCTGTGTAACGTTAGACTTCCTTTTGAATGTTAAAAAAAGCCACTACGTTTTATCCCTAGCTTCTGGAACCCTAAGTCTGCTGTTTAAAAGTAAAGAGAGAGACCAGAAGGCCCTGTTGGACCCTGCGCTTTCCTAATGATTGACCACTCACCACTTGTGCAGTAACTAGACTTTGTGCAGGTTGACTCATTCGCTCATTGATTGAACATGTGCTTGTCAGGTTCTGTTATGATCATTGTGCTTAATTTCTCCAATTGGAAATGGAGGAAGTTATATTCATGACTGAACTGATGCTGTGAAGATTAATAACTCAAGGGCAGATCCAGCCAAAGCCCCTCTGAACTCCTAGGTGGGAGCTGAATAGTAAGAAGTTGATTATTCTTTATCCTTCAGTTTGGTGCATAACTGCCTAATGCCCTGAAAGAGTAAATTTATCTCTCTAAGTGCTTTACTTCTACCAAGGTGTCACCATCTTCTCAAGAAGAGTCAAGTAGAGTTAAATGGAAGAGGCAGAAACATACCCTGCAAATACTGGGTATGATATTATCAAAGGAGGAGTGGCCCCAATTTCACTAGCATGGGATGGCCATAAAGAAGTCTACTCAATTGCTTATTTGATAAGATGCTTCCCACCTAGGGAAGTGCATTAACTCGCACAGAGCCATTTAATGTCGTAAAGCTGTAACTTACGCTGTAACAGACAGGGTTTAAATATAAATTTAAATGTCATGGTCCACCTTTATTGATGGTTAGGATCAGAAAGAACTGGTAGGGGCCGGCACGGTGGCTTAGTGGTTAAGTGCGCGCGCTCTGCTGCTGGCGGCCCAGGTTCGGATCCCGGGCGCGTACTGACGCACCGCTTCTCCGGCCATGCTGGGGCTGCATCCCACATACAGCAACTAGAAGGCTGTGCAACTATGACATACAACTATCTACTGGGGCTTTGGGGGAAAAAATAAATAAAAAAAAATTATAAAAAAAAAAAAAAAAAAAGAACTGGTAAAGCAGAAGATAGTATAATGTTTATGGTATTTTGGTAGACTGGGTAATTTTAGACATCTGCAAAAGGCCCTAGTATCCTCCTGGGGGATCTGACCTACTCCTTATTAAAAAGTGATGATCAATGAAATAAATGATCATTCTAATTCATAGACTCATTTGTCTTTAAGTTTAATTTTGATAGCTTTGTAACCATTACATGAAGCATAAATCAAGATGGTCAGTGTAAGGCAGGGAGACTTCTCCGTAAAATACAATAACTAAATTTGAAAATAATACTAAAGATAAAAGTTTTACACTTAACCAATTTTTGGTTATATGTGATTTTCATAAAAATAATATTTAGTTCATTAATACTTCAAGTATTTGATAGGAAAACATCTTTTCTTCCGGAAACATCTATTGTTTCAAGTAAGAATTGTATTTCATAGTTAAACAGAAGAATGAGGTTGCACCATTTAATGTGTGATCCTTAGAAAAACAATAGTTTAGCATGCTTTAAGGAGTCTTTTAGAGTTTCCTTTTTATTGAGAACTAATTTTAGGTCCAGAACATTCAATAGGAGATCTCTCATTTGGTGGAAGTGAGAAATGACTTATTTTACTTTCAATTTTGAAGTAGAAAAGAAACAGTTGACTATAAGCTCCTTGGTGTCTACATTTGATAACTTGCCTCCAACACCAACACCAAAGGGATTAGGTGGATTTTTCCTCAGGCCACACACTGCCTTTCCTCCCTTCCTCCCTTGCCTTTCCCTTCACTTATTTCTGGCGATTATGCAATGGAGGTTGGCAAATCACATGTGCCCAGTCTACTTTTTTTTAAGTGTACAAAACTACTTTCCTGGCAAGGAGAGCAGTGCCGGGGCACAGAATATCTCCTTGTCCTCTGGATAATTAGACCAGGTGGTCATGTCAGGCTTTGGCGCACTTGTCATCCCTTTCCTTGAAAATAACTACATTCTGATTTGGCATGTCCCTTCTATCTTGATTTCTGTTCATCATCTCTTTAACATGTCTTACTTCCCTGGATTCCTTCTCACTATCCTGAGAATCTCTCTTCAAAAACACTTCCACTTTTCAATCCTTCTTAACCAACCTCGCCATGTCAGCTGATACACTCCATTCTTGCTGAGTCCTTTGGGTTCTTCAGCTGGAAACAAATTATGAAGATTTCAGCCCCCTGAGTAGTGATCTCTTTTTCTTTTTTAACCTTCTTTCTAGTCATCTAACTTAGATGTTACTGAGTTCCTTGTTAATAACTAGTGAAATTACACCAAAGCAGGAGGAAAAGAAGAAAACCTGATTTTTGCTGATATTACACACACACACCCCATGAGAGATATATATATATAATATATACAGTATCTTCTATACATATAAAACTCTTAATATATTACATATATTTTATATATGTAATTGTTACATATATTACATATATATGTAATATATAATGTGATATATATTACTAAATATAAAATATGTATATATAATATCTCCTAATTGGTTGCTGATATATATAATATGATATATATATATGCTCTATATATGCTATATATAATTCTGTTAAGGAATTAACAGATTGGAGAAATGTTTAATAAAAGAAGGGGTTGGGTTTTTTCTGTAAGCATGCAAGTTTAAGTATTCAAGCATTTTGCATCTGTTTTTGAAGTTTTTAAATGTAACTATATTAGTGATAATTTATTAAGAGATATTCATCATGATATTTTCCTCTGTATAAGTTTGCACTTTTAGATTTTTAAAAGGAATATTTTCCCATCCCAAATCTAGCTGCTTTTAAGGAAATCTGTCCTGGTGGAATGGGTTATACGGTTTCTGGCGTTCATAGACGCAGGCCAATCCATCACCATGTAGGTAAAGGACCTGTATTTGTCAAGCCAAAGAACACTCAACTTGTTACTCATCCTCCACCTCTCCCAGCCAAGGAAGAGCCAGTGGAGGCCCTGACCATCTCCCGGGAACACGGGCCAGGAGTGGCGGAGCCAGAAGGTGAGAATGGAAGTGGATTGTGGACCTAGCCATATGTCTTGTGTGTCTTTGGTTTCCCTTTTTATACCTTTCTAGAACAGGGTTTTTCAGCCCCAGCACTATTGATATCTTGAGATAATTCTTTGACGTGTGAGGCTGCTGTGCGTGGTAGGATGTTTAGCAACATCCTTGGCTTCTAATATCTAGATGCTAGTTGCACCATCATCCTCATCCATTTGTTAAAACCAAAAAGGTTGTCCAGTGTTGCCAGATGTTCTCTGGGGAGTAAAATTGCCCCTGAGTGAGAGCCACTGCTCTAGAGTAATATGTGCCTAGCAGGTAACAATATTCCATGGTAATCTCAGGACATTGTCTTGCTATTTGGGGGCTACTTTTTGTGTTTATTCCTGGGGAGTGATTTAGATCCTTCAGGAAATGGCCCAAATTCATTTCTGTGTCTAGAAGGCCATTTAATAAATATTTATAAGGTGGAATACACAGATTTAAAACAGTTAAAGCATGAACTGAGCTTCCGTGAAATAGAGTCCAACAGGCAGTCAGGGATAATGGGAAGCAAAATGAAGAAAGATAGGAGAATCGATCCAAGGGATCTTGGAGATCACTTAGTGCAATCCTTTCATTTACTTGCTGAGAAACCTGAGACCAAATGAGGGAGCATGACCTGCCAGATGTCATACGAAGAGTACATAATGGGACCAAGGAGCACATTTTTCTAGGGAAGTGGTTAAGGCCTTAACCTCCAGAAGGAGTCTAGCGACAGTTGACTTTGACTGTCTCTCTTGCATTCAGAAAGAGGGAGTATCTCTCTCTCTATCTTTTTATATAAACCAGCATATCCAAACTTGGAATATCTTTGTTACCAGAAAAATTCTCACCCCAGATAGAAGGAATAAAAATCTTAGATTGGTATGGAATATATATTTGCTCTAATAAAGCTCCTGTTGGCTCTTCACAGTTGATTCTTGGGTCAGAATTCAGGGTGCCCATTTATGGATTTTGTGAGGACAGAAGATGCCCAGGTTAGTCAAGAGTCGGAAGTTTGCAAGGCCTCCTTCCTGGTAGAGAGGTCTTTTTTTGTAGGGCTCTGAACCTTTCTGTGTTCTAGCCTATTTTATTCCACTCTTTCACTTGCTGAGTTTTTTCCTTAGTTAGGCAGAGCGGGTAGGACCTCATCTAGAATTGACAGTATTGACCATTTTGCTCCTTATACACTTGGGGTGTCATGGCCAGATGTTTGCAACTACTTGTCCTCTGCATAGGTAGGAAGAAATGGGCTCTGGTCCAGATTCTGACTCAAGACTCTTTTGGTGATGGGTTAGGCAGAATGGAAGGTTAGTTGACTTTTTCCAACCATAAGAATATTGCAGCAGTGGTAGCAAGCTGGTGCCCTGATTGCTTTTAGAAGTTAATGTACCTACCAAACCTGTATACTAATGTTTATGGAGACTTGGACTCACGAGAAAAATCCCAGTGAAGGTTGACCAAAGGCTTGAAGACTAATACTAAGGACTGATTAATAATAAACAAGTCTGTCTAAATAAAAAACATAACCACACCACTACCACCCCACAATAATGTTATGATTGTGTAATATATAATTTGTTAAACATATCGATGCTAACTAATCTCTAGTTGGCTTGTGAGTTTTTTTTTTCTTAATTTAATTAGCTTGTCTTCCTGAAAATGCTCACAGGGCTTCGTTAAAGATTAGTATGCATCAAGAATGTAACACACATTCTTATTGAAATAAGTGGCTTGCTTTTTTAACATTAACATCAGAAAGCATTTCAAACTATGGATAAATATGTGACCAATTAATGAAAATGTTTGTTTTCCAAGATATGGGAAGTTCCACAAAATTGAGGTTAGGCATAAAATAATGCACCAGAAAGTATTGCCTTCTTGAACTGTTTTAGTTAATGAGCGAGTTGGAAAGAACTTCATCACATCTGCTCCCTGAGGTCCTTTATTTGGGGAATGACATAGCATGGATACTTCTTCCCTGTCAGTCATGTGTAAAATTCTCCAAAATGGTAGATGACCATAATTCTGCATTTGATTTAGTTTGATTCTTAATCCATATGGAGAGATACTGGACTTTTATTGCTTCTTAAAAATTGAAATATTATGTGGTGGATTGTCTTGTGCTAATGTCCTTCTTTCTTTTCTGGTTTTAGTGGCAACTGTACCCCCTGAGAAGGTAATTTATTCATTGTTTGCAAATCTTACTTTTTTTTACCCTCAAAATGATTTTCTTTTAGAATATGGGTGAGGTTTTTTAGACTTCAATACAGTAACAGGTCTATTCATCATTTGGTTTAAGGAAATATAGCATTCGTTTATTCAAGAAATATTTATTGAGCACCTACTATATGACTGGTACTATTCTGAATGCTCAGAAAACAATAGAGAACAAATCAGACAAAACTCTTTGTTCTCATGGAACTTAAATTATAGTGAGAGAAAACGGTGGGACTTCTGGAATCAGGGGCTTAAACAGAATTCAAGGAGTCAACGCATGGCCTAGACCATCAATGGAAAGAAAGGTTCCGACATGTTTATGTAATTGTGTCTTCTTAGAGTGCATATATACTGAGTGAGGTACTTCTTAATTCAACTAAAATTTAACATGCATGTTTGATTAAATTAGAGTAAGAACAGAGCTAACCCTTAAAAGTTATAATCCAATACTAGAATGTTGCTTCTTAGAAATTTTAGAGAAATTTTTATCAATCTGTTTGGTTTTTTTGGCATAAAATGGGACCATAAATAGTGAGATTTATTAGTAGGAAATAGAGAAATTTGCTTAATCTAAGTCCTATTTATGTAATATTCCTTGTCTGAATCTTGCTTTGATTTTTTAATAACGTGAAAATTAGGTAATTATTAAATGTTTATATATTTTATAGATAATTCAGTTGACAAAAATGCATTAAGAGAATTTAGATGACACATGTACGTATATAAATTATTGTAGTTTTTAAAATCTTTAGCTTATGAATATGGGATATAGTAACATAAGTGATGAAAGGATCCAGAAAAAAAGGAAGTATGATTTTAGAGTGATAGCACCCAACAAGGAAGAATGTTATGTTATTTTGACCCCAAAAGAAGTATATGCGTATTTTATGTGCACATTTGCGGCTCTTGAGTAGCATCTATAAAGATCAGTGATGTACCGTAGTTTGCCATTTTATTGATTTTGAATTTAATTCTGGTTGATATGTGGGAGGAATCATTTAGCGTGTGAGTGGGCCAGCCAGCTCCCTGACAGCCTCATCTTATCTCGGTTTGTTCTTCTCTGTTTATGATTGAGTTTATGGTAACTCTCATTAAGAATCTGAAAGATGGCCTGAAAACTTTCTTGTATACCTTTATACTGTAATTTATTTGGAGAGGAGGCAGTGGGAAAAATGCAATAGTAGTCTTTGTGGTCTTGACTCCTTGCAGAGGTCTCATGATATTAAAGATTGATGAAGAGAAAGCAGGGTGGTCTAGGGGTAGGAAATTATGTGTACAAAGGTGCAATGGAAGAGACAGCAAGAGGTCAGTTAGAGGAGCATGAGAGACTTAGGAAGAGACTTGGGGCTGCTTTAGAAGACTTGGAATACCAAACTGCAGTTATAATCAGTGGGGAAATACTCTGCCCCTCAAGTGGACCCTACTTGTCAAGTGAAGAAGTGGCATTGATTAGGAAGTCCGCTGCCCCGTGCTGATGGGGAAAGTTCTGTCTGTAAGTTGCGAGAGTGAATTAACATTCGATCATGGTTGTCTCCTTGCTGACATTGAACATGGGCTGTGGGGAGTAGGGTGCAATCAAGACTGATTGAGGTCATCTTTAGTAGGTAATAGAAAGCTAGTGTGTATTCTTTTTTTTTTTTTT